GGATACGCCGCCCCAGCTGTAGCCGCCTACCACGGTGCCGCTTACTCCCATTACTACTAAACAACGGCAAAACATATTGATTAAATAAAGTAATTTAGAATTTTATTTATGGTTTTTTTCGTATATAATATTACAGAATATTATGTCTTTAAAAAATCCTTTGTCTTAATTAGTCCAAAAATCTAAAGCGTGTCACAATCGTTTCCAAATAAATACTATATATTTTTTAAAATAACAACTTCATTTATAATTACATTAAGAAGTCACATGATAGTTTTGACCAAATTTTTTCCTCAGCTTCTTCAGCTATTCTATTCTATTCAAAACTTTAGCCCAGTGGTGAAAAAATTACATTTTTAATATTAAATAAATAAATAATAAAAAAACTTTATTTAGCAAAAGCTATCACAGAAGACAATTGGGCATTTTTAAATGTTTGATCAATAAATGCTTGAAGCTATTTACATTAGTGCAGTCTTTAATTTGCATAGGCAATTTATTAAATAAAATAATTCCATTAATTAAGACATTTTACAAGTATGGTATATATTTATTAAAGTGTTCAACATAAAAGTCTGAATAGTATTATAGTTATGCATCTCTTGTATTTGTATCAATCTAGAATTTAAATAATTTGGTGATAAACCAATTTTCATTTTAAAGAAAAACATTGAAGAATTATTCTTAATGATTTGTTATGAAGTTTTTGGAGTTTATCTAGTCATTTTTATTAATTCCAAACAAAATGCCAGAGCAAAAATGTGGAGCATTTATAGATTTATATAATAAAAATTTAACATAAATTGATACATAACTCCCTATTCTACTTAAAAAATATACTTTAGAGATTTTGTTCAGTAAGTAATTAACATGAGATTTAAAAATTAATTATTATCTAACATAATACTTAATACTATCAACTCTTTCCAACGCATCACCATTAAATACACTTTAAAATGTTTTAACACTAGGTAGTTACGGGTTAAAAATAATGTTGGTGACTTGACCATAGTTGTTCCACCCACATGTTTTGTCTGACTCGCTATCTGCATTCTTTCACCTAAATAGTTGATCTCCATGGGTCTGAATGTAAAAATTAAAATTTAATTTTTATAACGTGATTTTCATATAATTTTATCATTTTGCTCAATTTTGCTATATTGTGGAAAAACCGTTATTTCGACATGCAAAAATGCAAAATCCCGGGATCATTGGTTAAGTAGCTATGAGATTTAATTAAACCAAAAAAAAAATTACATTTATAAAGTCTTTTTTTTTCTAAAAATTATGTTTAGAACGCAATAAAAGACTCTTTTAACCAAAATTGGAAAATTTTTGTGAGATTTTGTGGCTTATTTATCTACCTTGCGTTAAAACTTTAATGCAACTAAATAAAAACTTTAAACCATATTAATTGATAAATACTTAATGATCTAATATTTCCACATATTTGATATTCCATAATTTTTCAGGAGCAAAAATAGTGTAAATATAATCTTGACACTCGCGGTTGTTTTGTAAATCTTATTAAAATCGGATAAAAATTGTTTGTGTCACAGCACTTGGTATTTTAAATATAAAAGAGGTATCAAAATCTTCCTGGAGGTGTAGTCGAAACTACAGCTTACACATCAAACTGCTGTGGAAAAGATGAAATGAACAAGATCGACCAGTTTCGAAATATTTACCATTATCACCTGAAGACGATTGGAGACAACCAATCGAAACGTTGTGAAATGCAAGATGACGACAGTCCAATGTAACATCACTACAACTACTTCATCTACCAACACCAAATCACTTATAGATCTGCCTGAATTTTCAACAAAGGGCGTTGTCCAGTTTTGAAGATTTTCGAGACATTGGTGCCCCCAATTTGGGGGTGCCCTGTGGAAGTTGTGCCCATCAGTTCGCCATGGATGAGAACAAGAAGCGAGTGATGCAACGAGAGAGAGAGAGAGGGAGGGAAAAGCATGGCTCGTAGGCAACACCAAATTGACACTTTCGAGGGTTCTACAACTTCAGAAGATGTACTACTTATATGATAATTTTGAAATATCTCGGAATCGTATTTATTTAAAAGTGCCGTTGCTGTCAGCACGATTTATTGAACACCAATTTATCGATCGATCTGAAATTCAGTTGTTCCCAATTATTATAGGACAAAGGAATTTTCCTTTGGACGAAAATATTTATTTTTTTCGACCGGAAATCTATTTGTGACCTCGAAAATGTTGGGAAAATCCTCTCCATTTGCCTAATTTTTTTTTGCAAAACCATTTGTTCACGAAGGCGGCATTTATACTATAGTATATTATAATATCGTAATTTATTTCATAACATTTGGTTAAGCCGTTTTCGATATTTCATGCTCACCGCAAACGTTTGAAAAATGTTTATCGGGGCAATTGCCGTACTTTCCACAATTTTCCCATATTTTCATTTTAAACAGCGATCTATTTCTATAAACATTTACTATTCGATACTTTTTAGTTCGTTTCAAAAAAATTGTTTTAATTTATTTTTCAAAAAATATAAATTTTATTATAAACCCAAAATCCTATAGAGGTACCTATTGTGGGCCCCAATTTGGGGCACTATTTTTTAAAAGAAAGATTTACATATAAAATAGTTTGTATACAATTTTTAAAAATTTATAGACAACATAAAATATACACAATAAATTTTTATTTTAATTAAAAATTTAAAAATGGAAAAATCGTTACCCGAATAGATTAAAGGAATATACGCAACGAAATAAATCAAAAATTATAAGAATAAAAAATTGGATTATAAAAACGTTTTTGTAACTTGGATGCCTGTGATATTTCGTAAATTTTTGCTCTATTGTGGAATATTAAAATATTTAAATTAATTGATTTTACATGCACCACATACAAATTTTAAGAAAATAGTTTATTAATTTATTCAAGTATACATACTAATAAAAAAATAAATAATTTTGAAACATCTAAGAATGGGCGACAACACAAACCCACAAAGAATTAAAAATAACTAAACAATTAGGTAGTTTATCATAATTTAATTTAAACAACAATTAAATTGCTTTGCATTTAGTTATGAACAGGTAATATTAACAAACAAAATCATTACAAAAAAACTAAATAAAAAGTATAATTAGGTTGAAATTTATTCACAATTTAAGTATATATTAAACAAGACCTGCAACCACAAATCATTATTTGATTAATAAAGCAAATTCAAATAAACGATTCAAAATGTTTAAATTTTAAGTAAATTTATATATTTTTATTTTTCAATAATTAATTGCTTTTTAACAATAATTATTTAATAATAATATTATTTTACTTTAATCAAATATGTTTTAGATCGCTGTTGAATTTTCCGCCCTTTTGGCCGTAGTTGTATCTGCCCCAAAACCAGGATAATTGGCTACCTCCTACAGCTCCTCAATCGTAGTTAGAAATAGTCACGGGGTAAAGCTAGTTGACAGTTGTCAAATGTCATACAATCGTTAAAATAAAGTGCCCTTCTTGTAAAATAATACTAAATGTAAAATTTTGCCTGCAGTAAACTAGATTAAACTAAATTTTGGGTGGAGACTCCACCGTGGAGGGCCAATAAAACATTTTCTTTACTTTCACTGAGAAAAACTGCTTTTAAACGATCCATTTTCAAAAGATACATTTCGATTAATACATATAAATTAAACATTAGAGATTCCCAAGTTGGTTACTCTATTGTTTTATAGATGTCGCTTCATACAAATACTAAGTATTTGTCGTAACTTGTTTATAAACTTTTCTAAACACTCATTTATTGAAGCGCTCGTGCCGAAATAAAATTTGTGTCTAAAATGATGTTTATCAAACTTAATACATAATATACTATTCTAAATTTAATTTTTTAAGATATCATTTCAATGGAATCTACGGTTTAAATATAAATATTATATATTTAAATAAAATTATATGTACCATTATCATAATGGCATTATGTATAATAATTATTAATATAAATGTTTTATACAAATTCTGATTTTGTATGTATGTAGGTATGACGCATTCTTAAAATCACCTTTCTGTAGTCAAATGTAATTTGAAAAAAAACATATTTTACAGCAACAGTTTTAGGTAATTCTTAAACAAAAAGTTTTGTGGAACAAAATTTGTCACCTTGGTGATTTTGAAGAACAACAACAAAATAAAATCATGTGGGTCATACTTGGAGATTTCACTTACAAGTACATACTTTGAGTTTGTAATTAGGTTATAAGGTATATCAAGTTAATCTATACACGGACCACAAAGACAAATTTAATGATCACAAATTTCATGGTTTTTCCTTTGTGTCACTTTAATCGTTGTAACTAAAAAATTGCACAGAATAAAGTACGATAATAAGGCTACATAATAATAATCAGATACAAGATGTAACTAATTAAATACTCTGGTAATGTATAATTAAGTAAATTAGAAAAAATTAATCCGGAGCGACGAAAACATATTTGTCTTTTTCACAGTAACTGTTGAACAAATGACCGCGGCCCCTCCCAGATTTTAAAGTACATCCCTCTTTTTTAGGGGCCTACCCCCTATATCGCGCATAATAACCTTATTAAAGTCGAGTCGTGGTCAATACTCTTGACCACGACTCGACTCACGACCGAAGCACTTTATTTTGATCAATTTTAAATTTTGTTTTTGTTTTTTAGTTCTCTTTACCTAGGCATGTGTTTTTATTTTATATTTTTTTTAAGACACTCAAACAGAGTAATAGTTAAATGCAAGTATTACATGGATAACAAACTAAAATGTTTCAGATTCCCTCAACACATGAAACAACTTGGCAGAATGGATAGTGATAAGGAGAAAGGCTAATTAAAAACTAAATTATATTTTTCCATTTATTTATTAGAACCAAACCCCACAATTTAGAGATAGTTAGTCAAAAATGCGTCCGAAAAATTTGCTTAAACTAGTCAGTCGTTGTCCTTCAAGCGCAGAACCGCCTCCACCCTACAAGTACAGGTCTCTGTATGCCAATCCGTTGTAGTAGTTGTAGTATCCCGATGCATACGGAGTGTATCCGCCGTATTGGTATCCAAGATTCGAGTAGGAGATGGGTGACCCGATGCCACTGTACGCCAATGGAATACCAGCGCTGTACGTAAGGGTGAGGGGATCCGGTTTTGGTGCGGCAAAAGCTGCAGCAAGAATTGCGAAGAAGGCGATCTGAAACAAAAAAGTACAAGATACACGATTGTGTATCGTGATAAGATATTAAAATAGAATCTCTAGAATCCAAACAATAGTGCATTTTAACATAAATTTAATTTAATTTTGATTTAACGGTGTAGCTACTATATATATGGTGGATAATTTAAATTTAGCTTTTAGCCTATTTTAGAATAAAAAGAAATATATTAAAAATTGACCAGCTAAACTGTTTAGCGAACTCTCTAAAAATTAATTAGTCAAAAATGTCTAATTTAATAGTTGTTTGTGGCTGCTTTTTCACTTGTACCATGGTTAACCATGGAATACCATGGTATCCCAAATAGCCAATTCTTATGTAAAATTGTCAAAAATTATGAAAGTGGAGCAGTTTTTGAGATATAGTCAATTCCATATTAAATGGAAAATTGACTATATCTTAAAAACCGTTCTACTTTTTTAACAACATAGGTATTTGGATTCAGGGGACAATTTTACATAAGAATTGGCTGTTAAATTTTCTGATACAATGGTATTCCATGGTTAACCATGATATAAGTGAAAAAGCAGTCACTAATAACTATTAAATTAGTCATTTTTGACTAATTCATTTTTAGAGAGAAGTATAGGGTAAAATATTTTTCAGCTAAGCCGGCTTGCTAGTAGTTAACCGATAATTAACTACTTTAGCAATCTTAAAACATAAAATGAAAAAAACACAAAAAGATTTGTACATTTTAAACTGTTCGAACCAATTTATAAAAAAATAAGTATTGTATTAGTTTGTCCCCGAAATGTGTTAACAAGTGGAAAACATTTTTTTGTTTTTTTTTGAAGAATATTTTCTTTTGATGAAAAGTTTTGATTGTCAAAAAAATATTATTGACATAAAAAAATCTAATTTTATCATAATGAGTCATTATAACACAAGTTTTTCAAACTATTTCGTCTATTTCGACCATAATTTATCAATAAAATTTAATTTAATTTCTTAAAAAAGCGAAATGTCAAAATTAAATATTTAATGACAGTCAAAATAAAACGTAAAATTTTGTTTTGTCTATTTCGAAGCTTCCAAGAGCATTGCTTCTAATGATTTTATTTATATTTTATAATATACTTTTAATAAATAAAACTAGAAAAACGAGTATTAAACACATCGTTGACATTAAAATTAAAACAGTTACCAAAAGTCTGAAATAAAACATCTTTCATTTTGATGCTACTAAAAAGCTTAGTAGCACTGAAAACGATGTGTCTAAAAACTCTTAGTTGCATCGAATTAGACAAAAAATTAAATTTTAAATATGGAATTTAAAGTGGAATTTTGATAAAAAAAAACTTTCGATCATACCTATTAAACGTGTTTTCCCTTCTAACCTTTAAACAATATTCTAAAATTTAAAAAACATAATCCTAAAATACTTATGGTACCCATAAACAACTGTCAAGTTTTTAGACAGTATTATGTGTAAAATTATTTAAAGTCGGTCATTAAATATTATTTTTAAGACTAAATTTATATTTAATACATCATAACAAAAAAAAATGATACATCGCGATGGTACAAATATTGACATTCTTCACATTTCGTAACAGATATTTAATGTTTAGATTACTAAAGGCAAAGGGGACCTGATTTCTGTTAAACCAATGAAATTTTTTAAAGTTTACATAGAAGTTTTATTTGGTTTAACATAATTAAAATATAACATGTATTATTATGTATTATTTTTTACAATACAAGTTATATTTAAACCATTCATTTGTAAATTAAAATAAATTTAAACTTAAAAATGAATTTAGTAACTAACTTCAAAAGATTTTAAATTCTGGAATACAGTTTGATGCATACGGCTATAAAATTATTGAATTCTATAGGTATAAAAGTTATATATATTTATATATTAATTTCTAGGAAAATTGAAAGCATGGTAAAGTGAATAAAATTGTTTTATAGTAACATATTTTTTGATTTACTAGCCTAGGTTTTATATTTTTTTGCAAAGAAAGTTATAAAGAAACACGTTAATAAAATATTTTTATATCAAACAAGCAAAATGGTGATGTTAAAATTAGAATTTTTAATTTGGATCCAAAAAAAATTTCGACTATACATAATTATAAAAACAATATTTGAATAAACAAATTTCCACTTTTTCACTAAACTAAATAAAAATGCACTTACCAATTTTAACATGATGATGGTAGTTGAGTTGCAGTTAACTTGTCTGAGACAAAATCTGCCTGTTAAAGTAAAATCTTGACTTTATATAGCGAAGAGGCTCTTTGTCCGATCAGGTTGGTCACCTTATATCCTTCATTTTCAAATAAAAACAAAAAATCGCGAACAATTCTAGCATAGCCAGCTGGATGGTCTTCTTATCGCGTTGTCGGGATGAAACCATGGCCAACCACAACATACCATTCGTTGACTCTGGTAATTGCAGATTCGCTTGCACTGCTTATTCGAATGGAATTTTAAAAAGTAATATTATGGTTTATTTAAAAGATAATTTAAATTATTATTTTATTTGCTTTTATTACTAATATTACAAGGATATAATACTAATATTGCAAAAAAATTGCTTCTAAAAATTGTTTATTAATATTAAAAATAAATAATTGATGAGCTGTGACTTTATGGCATTTTAGTCACGGGCTAAAGTTATCAACAGTGTCTTTTGGGCAATTTAGTCAAGGGCTAAAGATAGCTTTATTATAAATTGGGAGGTAAAATCCGTTGATAGTTGCAATAATAATAAAATGGCGTTTATAAAACTTGATACATAATATACTATTTTCTACTCCCACCTTTAAAACGCCCATTATCGTACATGTTTCCATGGGCTGAAGTTGTCAAATGACATACCATCGGTAAAATAAAGTGCTCTTCTTGTGAAATAATAATGTGGAAATTATTTTATTATCTTAATACAAAAATAAAAAGTATTAAATAGTTTCTCAACGCCAATACCCATTTAAAAAGTATATATAAAAGTTTGTACTAATTTTAATTTCGCCGGTAGTAAACTAGATTCAACTGAAAGCATTAAAAATTTCGGGTGAAGACTCCGGTAAAAAACTGCTTCTATATCAGATTTAAACGGTTGTTAGTCCATTTTTAACGGAAAAATTTTGATTTACACATACAAATTTAACATTTTTACTGGCACGCCACGGCTGAAAAGCCCGATGTTGGTCAAAACTAATTTTAACAAAAACTACAAAAGATATTAACTTGCAATTTGGACTACATATTAATGCATATAAGGACTTCAACAAATGCAAAATTCACACTTATACATCCAGTGGCGGTACGTGAAATGGGAAAAATATTGTTTTTTACCGCAAATGGCTATAATTTTATAATTTTACAAAAGTTAATTAAAAATAAACTTAATTTATCGTTAAGGGCTTTAATATATCCAAAATATACACTTATATATCCAGTGGCGGAACGTCATTTCTGAACATCTCCTTTCGCATATTGAAACATGATTGGCCTACAGTATTTAATTGACGAAGGGTGATCATTGTCCCAAATGACCTTTTCGTTATCGTCTTTTAGCTGCAATGGTACATCTGAATATATAAACATATTCGCATCTGTGAAACCTTCAAAAATCCGTTGCTTATATTCAGCCTGGCCAGATATACAAAAATACCAAAGTGCTCTTTTAGTTCCACCCTTACTTCCTAAGAAGTCCTAGAACGGACCCTCCAAAGGACTATTACACAATAAGACAAACTCAAATAATGATGATCCATGACATCCCCATTTTCCTACTAGTTTTAAATTTTCAGTAGCACAATTTTCCACTTTACATGAAGTCAAAATACGGCTATGGTTTAATAATTCTTGAAGGCCTACCGATGCACCCAGTTCATCTATGTACATATGTTCGAGATAGCATACTTTTTTTATTGTGATTTGGATAAATTTAGATCCAAATATAATGCCAAAGCCTCCTCGTTTGAAAATGGTTTTTCATATAAAGAATTTCCCTCTTCATGTTTTAATGTATTTTCATATACATATGAAACTCCTTCCATGCCAAGAACTTAGGCTTTTTTTCGTTTTGATCTATCGGAATCGGATCAACGGAAATGCCATTAGCAACCAGTGTCCAAACATTGGTCTCCAATTAATTTTTGTATATCTAAGAAGTGCTGAGCTCAAGGTTTAAGTGCAGACCACAGAAATATTTCTATTTATGTGGTGTAGAAGCGGATCTCAGGCATACAATTGTGCAAAGCACAAAAAGACACTTATCAGCTGCATATCTTTAAGGCATAGTTTTAATTGTTAAACGATACCTAAAAGGTTTTTACAATTAAAATATCAATAAATAAAAGTATAAAGATAGATAAGATCTGAACAGGTTTTAAGTTTAAATTATAAAATGCCTGTGGACAAAACATTATATTTAAATCCCGGCGTATTCGCCAAAATTTCAATTTTATTTATATGGTGGTTGCGCAACAATAATCCTTATATATATGAGTATGAGTATGAGTATAAGAGTCGTATAACCAGCCCCATTGCCTCATCACTCCCGGACCCCGTACAGGCCTATCTTTACTTACGTCTATTTTTGTTCGCCCCCAGCAACTGCACGGCTTCACCCGTGTTTGCTGGGTGCGAATGTCCATTGTGTTCCGTACTGTCCCCTGTTTGGGGCTCGAGAGCGACATGCGAATAGTTTTAATAGCCATTCTCGGGTTCGCGGAGCCGATGCTATACGTCCAGTAGGGTATAGAGGAGGAGGGACGGGAGGGATAGACGTTTGTTGGTTTTTGGGGGACAATTACCCCGACTTAAAACTAAGTACGAGGCGGAATCACCCTAGACCAGTCGGTTAGTATTACTCCAAACATTTGGGATTACTATTTAGAGTTGGGGAGTTGTTATTTCGCTGCAGGGGTGTAGTTTCCCAGTCGAGGTCTTCGTATTGTTCGTTATTGTCATTGCCCGGGTCCTCAGTCTTGATGCCAAAAACCATCAATAGATAGTTCAGTAGCTGGATATGTAACTTGTAGCTTTTGGTGTTTTTTTTTAATTCTTTATTGCCGCAGTAATGCGAAATTTCCAACAATTTTTTTGTATTAGTTATTGTGTTGCCCAAGAACGTTTCGTGGTAGAGTTTTGTCTTTTTTTTCTTAAATTCCAAAATTAAGTATTGCATTTATTTATTAGTTAAACAAATGTCACGCGCAATTATTCTCTTATCTAATGTTTACAAATCCAGTATAATTTGGTTAATATGCTTTTTTTACTTTGTTAGGGTTATAATGATTAATGTGTTAGTTTATATATAACAATAATCCTTATATATATATATATATATATACACATATAAACGGTCATTGTGCAGCCCATTCTATATACAAGCTATACTCTGTGTAGCCCGAAATGACTTTGTGTGGCCCACTCCCGGGCTGAACAACGTTTGACGTTATTTCAACGCTAATCGATTAATCACGGTGTTGGGAACCCCAGGTTAAATTTTTGGCAGGGCTTAACAACGACCGGTTTAGCCATAGTTACATACAGAATAGTTCATTGAATTTAACTGTAGGTGGCGCGCTGTAGTAAGTGTATCTAGAATAGAAATCCTAGATATCTTACGGTTCTTGTGTAGCCCTAAATCCGGCAACACTGCAAACACAAATTTTTCGTAGGAAGATATAATTTAATATCAAGCAGTGAGCAGAGTTTTAACGCTGCCGCGCGCTGTAAGTTCGATACCGCGACTTAGTCAGAGATTTATTCGAATACTTTTAATTGTTTTTATTACTTAATGTATTATAGAATGTGCACAATGAGCTTTATTTTTTATTAAAAATTCTTTTTAAAAATATAAAAGGCAAAAAACATTAATTGTAAAAATTATTCAAAAGCTTTTACTGGTAGAACATACATACTTTATTAAATTGTAATAAGCGGTTTAAATTTAATTACTTAATCAGACTTTATAACTTTTTTAGTTGAATGTTTTAAAAATAGAAATATTAAAATATTTGACTAAAATTGGGCATATTTTTAATTTGAAATAATCCATAAGGTACACACTCTAATAATCCAAAATTTGAAGATAATTTTTTTTATTATGTTGTAATAAGTGGATCAAATTTCAACACAAAGACTTTATATGTTTTTTTAGGAATTTAAAAAATTAGCTAAACATGTCTAATTTGAAATATCTTTCGGAAAACATTATTTTATTGTGTTTTATTTAATATATTAGGCCTGTTAGAAGCAAATTAATTTGTAAAATAAAAATAAATAAAATTAATAAAATAAAATTTCATCGTATTTTATTATTTTAATGTGCTTGTTTTAAAAATAGCCAAAATATTGCGATTAGTCCTCAATCGGGTAAATTTTTAATCAAAAACATCTCAGAAGGGATATACTAAAAATTCCAAATTTTGCGATTTGTCCAAAATCGGGCTTTTTTAATCTGAAATATCTCAAAAGGTACTAACTTAAAATCTAACATTTTCAGAAAACATTTTTTTTATATTTTGTTGTAATAAGTGATTTAAATTTCAATGAAATTATTTCATCAGTAGCACTTTATTAGTTTTTTCTATTTTCTTATATACAAAATATTAATAAAATATAATAATAACATAACTATTATAATAAAAGCTTTTTGTTTAAAGCCAGTATAATTATTTTTTGAAAAACGCAGATTTTTGACAAAATTAATTAAAAATAATAAAAATTATTCCATCCTATCTTTTAAGTTTAAAACCAAATTTTTTTATATAAAGTTTAATTAAATCATATCAATTTACGATTTTTAACTTTTATATTCCCACTTTAATGGGTGTGAAATTTCACGAGGGAATTTTAAAAACAAAACAGCATAACATAATTAATTTGTGCTGCATAAATCTACTAAATAATTTTGTTTTACTCAATGTAGCCAATTATAAGTTAAGGGTCCCTAGAATTTGCCAACTAAATACCCAAATTCCGAATAAAAAACATTTAATTGCACTAATTAAATAAATAAAGTAAGTTTTCTAGATGTTTGCTATTAGGTTTACAGATATGGGGGTAAAATGTTTATTATCTTAAAACATTATTTAAAAAATTCCATGTCAATTCTTTAACTTTTTTTAACAAATTACCCGAGAAACCCCAGGGAAAATTGGGCTAACTTAAAACGTTAATATCTTTTTTAT